TGAAGACGATCGAAAGAAAAAGAGAAAAGAAAACTGCTGCGGGATGTTTGGCCAAAACGATCGATACACATATATATATATATACATATATATACACATATGTATATTAGGTTTGGGAAAAGAACAAAATTTCTTGTTGTCCAAGACATAAAATCACGTTCAAAATAAAAGAAAAGGAAAATCTGTCGGGCCGGGCCCGAGAAATTTGGGCCAATAGGATTTTTGGGCCGGTTGGGATAACAAAACAGCTCACAGGCTCAAATAAAAATTTAAACAGATATATTCGGGCCCAATTCGGTTACAACAAAATTATCGGGCTCGATTCTGAAAGCAAACGCGCGATAATAAACCGAAAAATAATTACATATATTTTACATATTATCACATACACATTTTCATATTAATAATTTAATCAAGACACAAAATCAATTTAAACAATTAGACACAATTTCACAATCAGCATTTAATCACATTTGACAAATAAATAAATATAATGGCATTCAATAAAATAAAATATAATTATTATTACCAATTAATAATAACAATAATAATAGTAATAAAAATAATAAAAATAAATCCCAAATAATCCACAAATAAACGGGGCGCTACAAATACTATGTTCAATCAGAGGACATACGTAACGAGTACTTCCTCTATTTTGAACGAGATGATTTCAGAATGTTCAACGTCAAGGTCTACACGGCTAACGATATTGAGAGGCCTCCACAGCACCGGTATTGCATAAAAATTAAAAAAACTCATGTGGAGCGTGCACTGCTGGTAAATGATTCATATAATGATTTGAAGCTATTTTTTCGTCCACATTGTTCTTCCATTTTTTATAAAATGTTATCTTATTTAATATTTTTTTTGTGTTTTTTTGTTGTGAAGCCGATACCAATGCAGTTTTGGAACGCACACATTGAAGGACACCTTCCAGGGATAGACTTTGCAGTGCTTATGTTCAAGGGGGAAAAATACTCGATGCCTATAGACCGATGTCATGGTAAGAGGCGGCTCAAAGATGGCGATATGCGCCAATTCTTTGAAGACAATGATGTTGTGGAGGATTCCGAGTGGGTCTTCACATTGATTCCATTTCGTTACCCCCAGTTTAGAGTGGTAGAAATTCGTGTGTAACGTGTGCGTGACGGACAAACGTTTGAACACCTTTCTGGTTATCACTAATTATCTTTTAACATTATGTACGACTTGTGGGTTAATTTAATATCTGAACATTTTGTTGTTATGATTATTATGTTTATTAAGACACAATTTGTATCATCTGTAGAGTTTATATCTTCTCTGATGTGACATTATATAAGACTTTTGTGTTATCGGGTTCTTAGGTTCATTTTGACAATTTAAATGGTTTACAGACATCTTGGCAAGGAAACATTACCGAGTACAGCACCGAAAAAAATAAATACATAACACCAACCAGAAATAACATTACAAACATCTCGTGAATAGAACAACAACGGGTACATTTTATCTATGGAAGGACTACAAAACACACAAATTGCTAGGAACATGCAATAACCCACGGGTACAACACCGAAACAATAAAAAACATAGTAAAGAACCATAAAACAAACAACCAACCACAGCAAACATACTGACACAGAACAGAAACATTCTCAAACATAGAACGGAAGGATATAGTGGCGAAGCTAATTCCACGGCCAATCATGCGCATAGTTCATAGGAGTGGCAGAACATGCAGTAGATACAAAATTTTCGTCCGGTTCAGGTGCACCGTGAGAGAAGTTGTCATATGTGGGCTGATTGACGGATCCATCCGTTGAGCCGGTTTGACTATGTATGGATTGCTTCTGCTTTGGGGCGTTCGAACTACTACCCATATAAAAGGCCGGACGCGGTGGTTGTTTCTTCCGGGGGATGTCCGTTCGAACCGGATACGGCACTAACCTACTCGGCGGCCCACGCTTTGGAGTGTACTCCTTCACATTGATAACTTCAACACCTTTGCCATGGCCCTTTCTCTCGAAGTACTCCAATAAAGGATTTACGTAAGGTGGCTCAACGTGAAACAACTCAACAATTTTGTTATGCTGGGGATCACCTTCCGTCATGTAAGCGAGTGAAAATTCATCCCACTTTGGAACAAAATAAATATTATTTAGTTTCCAACTCTAGCGTTGGTGTAACAAATGAAAACTCATATAATGGACTAAACTCACCCTTAGCATTTCATCCCAAGTGGTGCCCGAAGCCTGGTACTTGTTCTGGACGGCGTCGTATTGAACACCATCCTTGGATTTCAGCGCTGTGAAAACATCTAGTCGTTTCGCCAACACTCCAAGGCGAGTTCCGATGTACTCATGGGTGAAACTCGTGCCAAACCACTCATTTAATGCACGCGTAGCTCCAAGTATGGACTCATTGTTATCTGTAAAAGGAACAAAGATACCACACAACTTATCTTCAAGTAAGTGGTCAATTAGAAACTCATCAAACTTTGGTGTCCAATGTAGGTCATACAAATAGTCACCCTGCACTAAACCAAAGTCAGGAGCCATCGCAATTTTATGACTTAGAAATTTTCTTCTTTCTTATAAGCTCAGTAATATTTTAGTACTTCTTGCTTTGGTAGTGCAATACTTGTTCTGCAATTTTGTGTTTAAATAGCAAAACGTCGTGCACCAAGATCAATAATGCATTCGACGGTGTTAGGCAACAATTATGGTCTTCATGTCCGGCTTGTCTATTCAGTTCAGCTTTGCAGAAGTAGCTGTAGGCTACCTATAGACATGTGTAGTGACTTGTCATAGCCTGTCCCCCATAATCTGACATTTTTGACCAAAAAGATGACTCCAGGGGTCACTTTAGTGTTGTGGGCATGCTCTTTCATCATAACACGACACCTATATGAATTGGTTTCATATTTATAAATTTTGTTGAGTATGCATTGATGTGATTAAATAGAAAAATTGAAAGCCATAAGACCAATAATGCATGTGTCATACATGAATTGCAGAAGCTGGTAAAGACCTATCAGCTCAGCTATGGAGGATAGCTGAAGAAACCTAGCATTAGACCTGCATTGAACTGCATTTGTACACATGTCCAGTCATTTCAAAACACGCAATTCAAAACTGCATTATTAATTGTCACTTTAACGCAAACAACAAAATTTGTTTTCAACCTGCCAAGATGTAACTAATCTTCTTTACCGGGCCAGCTTGGCTATGCATAGGGCTCAATAATAGGTCGAATTAGTTTTCATAAAGTTGTAATTGAACATAAATGATGGTAAACATGGTCGTGAAGTCATTTACTGCAATGAACTCAACTTTAAAGAAAAGATTAAGCCTACCTATACACCTGTCGTGAGTTGTCATAGCACGTCATGTCAAATATAAAACTTTTGACCATGACGTTAACGACGCCTTAATGGTCAGTTTTCAGCCATTGTGACCAATAATGCATGTAATTATTTTAAATTGAAAATAAGATAACACAATAAAGTTGAATGCATAGTAATCCATCGTTAATAAAACAGTACAAAGTAGGTTTACAAAATATCAGTTATTACACACAGCCCTTGTGGACCATAATTTAAGGACATCATCATAGTTTATTCTACCCGACCTTACTTAAAAAACAAAAGACTGAAACAAATCAAAACAATGATCCAAACTGTAGATTTCATATATTTGAGCTTCTTCTCCAAACTTCGAGCTTTACGGACAGCATAATCAAGGCTCAACTGTAGTTCTACATTTTTCGCTGTTTCAATCTCCAAATTGTTCAACAACACCTTCTTCTCATTTTCCAACGTATTTTTCTCGGAAGCTTTTAAGTCTAGCCTCTCTGATAGCAGTTTCTCCATTTCTTTTTGGTAAAACATTTGGTCCCGCAACCGGTCCTTCTCAGCCTTAAGCTTGTTAAAACAAGCCTTTTGGAACGGCGGCAACTCGGGATCAATCCATAGAAACAGGGTACAAGGCTTTTTACCATCATTCAACTATGAAAAATCAAAATAATTCAGAGGTAAAACTTCATGTACATACTTGTTAACAAAAGAAAATACTCTTTTCCACACAAACAAAACCATCAAATAAGCTTTGCCACAAAGTGGGAATAAAATTTTACCCTGATGTGAGAACATTTGCAGAACCTTCGAGCTGGATTTTCACTCGTCGTTGATGTCAACACATCGGCTACGTCGCCACAACCACATAGCCTATAATCAGAGAGACTACTAGAGGATCGGTTATATGGAGTGCTTGAACTCGTGTGAGAAAAATATGACATCTTGCTTGGTTGAAAAAAAGATTTTGAGAAAGTGCCCCCCTGTGGTTGAGCTTAATCACAAATTAACATCAAAGCACATATATATATATATATATATTCAGTAAAGACCTCATAGTTACAATATTCTGCATTCAGACACATTAAGTGCCCCCTGTGGTTTAGCTTAGTTACGAAAATGATAAAGAAAGAAAGTTCTGGTACTTCCCAAAATCACAAAAGGAATCAACCTTAGGTATTGCAATACCCAGTTAGCTGTTAGGTTTTTATTTTCACAAAATCACAAAAGGAATCAATGCACTAGGATACATTTATTCGAATTGCAATAGAGATCAATTGGGCAACCAATGAAGCTGACATTGAGTTCTTCCAAAAACTTCAGAAAAACATTGATTTTTAATGTAAACATTTTGGTTCAAAATTTGTATCAAACACAAAAACCATAACCATAACATATTAACCTTCTCTAAGCACCCAACACAAACAGTGCAAGGCTATCTTCAACCTCAGAGCAATTAAGAAATCTAACAGAAACAAACCGTACAAATGAAAAAAGGAAAACGAGTTACTGAAGTAAGAGGTATAAGCACTGCATATGACCGAAGAAACACAACTAACAAATTCAGGTTCAGAAAAGTCCTCAAAAAATCGTAAAACAACACCTCAAAACTCAGGTTAACCTACGAAATGAAGTACCTCTCAGAAAACCTTTGTCGGTTAACCTTTGCCTGAAACCTGTTGGACTTAAAAGCTTTCGCCGCCGTTCTTCCATTCCCGAAAATGTCGGTGGACCTCGTAGTCCCGAATGAAAGATTATTTCGACTCAAATCTGGAAAGTGGGGATGCTTTGGGTTGATTAGGGTTCGGTCTCGACGTTTATCTCTGAAAGAGGTACAAATGAGTTGAGAGTGAAGACAAGGTTATGTAATGAGAGGGTAAATTGGGCATATTCTTGTATCCTATGAATTTATCCAGCATAGTAAACATGGGACAAATTTCAGACTATCTAATCCCTTAATGTAAACAGGGGATTAAATGCTGACATGTAAAGTTAATCAGATTATTTAGTCTTATCCTATCCCTCAAAGTAAACGAGCCCTAAAAGAATTCATTGGAAATTATAGCGACTCTAGTTCAGAAGTAAAAATCTAGAAACAAAAGATCGTATAAATGTTACAATTGAAGATCTTAAGGATATTCTTCCAGGACCAAGTAATTATCAAAACACTCATGAGTTCATGTGTAGCGCCCCGTTCGATTCATAGAATTTCTCGAAATATTCTATTTATCTAATATTATTTATAAGGTTATATTTATTTTATTAGTCGCGATCTCGACTTAAATAAAAGGTTGGAGTACTCGATCGTTTTATTGAAAAACGTTTGTCATTCGGCGATTTCGGTTTAATCGCGTGAACCGAATATAATCCGTTTGAATAATGGATTTTTCGGATATTTCGGTATTATTAATATTGTTATTTTATTTTTTCAAGCGTTATATATGTTCGAATTTTTTGAAATTGAGCCCGATAAACCGGTAGTCAAAACCGGCCGATTCGTAAACCCGTTGTTTACGAATTATATGGGATTATTATTATTATTATGATTATTATTATTATTATTATTATTATTATTATTATTATTATTATTATTATTGTTGTTGTCATTATTGATAATATTATTAAATGTCTAATTGTCATTATTTGCCTAATTGCATATTATTATTATTAATTAAATAATGTGTGTACTATATAAATATATTATCTGGTGTTAATTTAAATATCGTGCGATCGAACAGAGCCGTTAATATTAGTAATAGGAGAGCCGAGAAATTATTTTTGACTGAGTCGAGCCTGTTAAATCGCAAATCGAGCCGCAATGAACCGGCCCAGCCGAACCGATCGAGCCCCGACCTAGTCCGCCACTAACTTGCGTGTGTGCGTGTGTTCGCTTGAGGAAAAAAAGAGTAAACCCTAGTCTTTTATATTTGCATGCTCCTCTCTTTCGATCAGAACACATCACGCCCCGCAGACATCTCTCGCTCTCAAAATCTTCTTTCCTCTCGCAAAATAATACCGACGCCACCATCTTCCTCTCCCTCCCGCTCAGAAAATCCGGCAACCAGCGATCTGCCCTCTCGTCTCCCTCACCCTCGCGAGTTCACAATCACTGCATCGTCCCCCTCCCACGTCGCACAGCAACTTCGGCGACCTCCTCCTCCTCGAGTTTCTCCCATTTGGCAATTCCGGCGAGCCGACCTCCTTCACGTGCAGCAGCCACGACAAGCATCCTCTGTGCGCCGCTACACTCCTCCGGCGAGCCCAGCTCCTCCACGAACCCTCGCTGTGAACCAGCAAGTTGCCTCGACCACTCGGACGACCCCCAGCAGCGAGACACTCTTCAGCCGTCGCAACTCCGGCGAGCCCTCTCCTGCAAACTCCCGGCGAGCAGCTGCCCCTCCGCGCGCAGGACGGCCCTCCGCCGCGACCAGCAGCAACACCAGGCGACTCCCTTCCCCGACGTGACCCCGTTACCCCGTCGTCGCGATCCCTCGCGCAACCAACACCGGCGAGCCGCGCGTATAGCCGTCGAGCCGCCTTCGTAGTCACGTCAACCCTCGTTCGACCTTTCTCTACGTATCGTATCCCAAGAATGGTACAAAGACTCGAACTCCGCCTCGTTTAATTATGTGTATAATGTTTTAGTAATGTACTATCGCCTAAGAAATGATATTTCTTGATTAAGGATTAATAAATCGTGTTATTGTTGAGATCTCTTGTCGGTTCATGCGAAATCGAATGAGACCTCGTTATGCTTGTGTTAAGTACTGTGGATTGGAACAACTTAGAGTCCTTGACCTTATGGCAAAGGCCTCGGACGATTTTGGTGTTTATCGAGTCAATTATGAATTTTTGAACTCGAATAGTTGCTGAATATGTGTTTAATTCGTGATAAATCACATGCTGCTCTGTTTGATGTGAAATTTTATGTGTCAAGTTCCCTGATGTTCATATAGGTCGTGTATAAATTTCATGATTTAATTCCAACAGTAGCATTTTTTAACAATCATTGTGATTTCTGGGCAGAATATTGTAAATTTCATAATAAACCGAGTTGTGCTCTCATTTGGCTGAAACTTGAATATGATGTCTTTCTTTTGTACATGGATGTTGTGTCCAAATTTCATAATTTTTGGACTTTGTTTGCTAGGGTAATTAATTGTTTGTGTTATTCTGCTGAAACTCGTTTTATTTATGAAAATTCGACCTGTTGTTGTAAATTGCTAAATTTTGGTTTATGTGCCTTTCTAATGATGTTATGCGTGAGGAAAGATTCCCAGGATTTTTGGAGTTCATATTTGTACGGTTTTTGTGAAATCTTGAAATCTGCAGAATTTTGTTACAATATTTATAATTCGTGTGATAAGTGTTCAAAGCTGGAATTTTTATATGTTAGTATTCACTTGCTGTAGCTGCTTTTGTAAAAATTTTAAGTGTTAACTCGTTCATTTGGTCAGGCTTTGAAATTGTTCTCATTTTTGCTAAAAATTTGTTTTAATTTTATAAAATCTTGTGTCTTGAGTTAATGGCTGAAATTTGGGGATATTGCTATGTCCAGTGAGGTGGAATTTGTGTTAAAATGTGAAAGCCTAACTCATTCGATTACCTGGCCAACCTGATTATGTGATTTTCTCGTCAAGTATTTCAAAAATCTAGCTTTTATGTTAAAATCTGTAAACTGACTCGTATGTTTTTCTTTGTTGTTCGACTTGGTAATCCTTTTATTGAGTTTATGTGTACTCCTATACATATTTTGGTTGAGTCTAAGTGCCGAGTCTAAGTGTTCTAACGTCCACAGGACTTCACGAACAACTTAGTCGAATCAAGTTCGATTAAGTATGATTTGTGTTTTTCGTTCAAAGTCAAGATAGATCTTGACTTAATGAAGGTGTTTGAGGAGTCAAGCCTTGACCTACGTCCAGTGCTTATTGTGTTTTGACAAATTCGGAATCCAAGTGGGTTAGTTATTCTGAAATGTCTATGCATGTGTGTTTTAAATGTGTTGAACTAGTATTATCTATTTATGCATGTGAGCATGTAGCCTATCGATGTGAGCTGTTACGGCCATCGGTACGGTTGTCTCCAGCAAGTTACAGTACAATTGCTCTTGCAAGGCAAGTCTCCTTAAGACCTAATGAAAGGTCGTGTCCTTACGTGGCACGTACTCTCGCCGTTAAGGTAATGAATCCCCTTTCCGCGACTAATGAAAGATGTGTACACAGGAATAATACATATTGATGTGATATTATGTAGGAGATGAGACATGTTGTTATCGTTTATGTTCATGCTGCGACCATACCTTTTATTGTTACAAATGTACATATGCATAGTGTTGAGCATTATATTTTCCTTTATGCTCACTCCCACCTGCTCTTCATGGATGCAGGTCAAGTAGTTGGCGGATGACGAGACAAGGCGAGTGGGTGGTCTTTTATTTATTGTCATTAATTGCTTCCGCAGTGTATGAACTTATGTTTGACTTGTTGGACATGTTGGATTGGTTTGAAACCTTTCTACTTGATATTCATGAGTATGTGATTAAATGGAGATCTTAATTATTTTATTGTTCATGTTGATGTAAAGTGGGTTAATGAAAACCTTTGAAAATCGGGTAATGAATCCCCGTTAGTTCAGACACGACTTGAACTATGTGTTGAATTGAATGAGTAACGCTGAAATGTTTATGAATCAAAAAATGAATTTCGTAAATTTTACTGTGATTTTTGGAGAACTCAGGGATTTCCTTTAAAATCAAAGTGGGGCGTTACAGTTTGGTATCAGAACCAGTCTGCGTTTCTGTAGACTGGCATATATGTGAAAAAATGTTTATGTGATTTAGACCTTGTGTTATGACCACTCGTCTTCGTCATGCCGCTCTGCTTAAGGTATGTGTTTATATAAGTATCAATGAAAATGCTTATATTGTTAAATGTGAATTTTGTACATAAGTAGCAATGAAACAACTTGTGAAATAACTTGTGATGTGATTTGATGTATCATGTTGCTATATGGGGCTTACGAATTTATCCTCCTTCTGTTAAACATTCTTGAACTCTAGATAAGTGGCGAACTTAGTGATATGAGCATAAACTCTAACGGTATAGAGTTAAGTTCCGACTAGAGAACTTATTTGTGGAAAATTCGATATGGTGTTATTGAGTTAAGTTCTGTTGTAGCAGTTCTCTCGATGCAAATTTAGTTTCACCGAGGGAGGACCATTCACGAGTTGTAATATCCCATTCAGTAATTCATAAAAGTAATTATTTCAGTTCTAAGTTAGAACTATTTTACTAATAATGATCTTTTATATTTCCAAGCCTTAATAAATCTCTTAGAATTTTAATTTTCAGTTGGCTTGACATTAAAGTTAAACCAGAATCGTTTTTCATTAAATTGAGTTAGTCGAGTAAATGTTATAAATTGCCTAAGTATTTTATGTGACTTATATGATTTGATAAGTTATAAGGATTAAGTAGAAGTTATTTAGACAAGAAGGTCTATTTATATTATTAAGAATATATTCGAAATTATATTCGCAAGTTTCGAGTTTTTCGATGTTCGGTTGTAGACGATAATTAAATCCGATTTCGTTTCCGGAAAATTTATTTTCTTGTATCTTTTTACAAGTTTCAAGATCATTAATAAGAGTTAAAAATTTTCAGCATAAAAAGGAAAAAGGCCAAAAGCAAAAGATGGAAATCTGAAATTTTCAGAATTTTCGATTTTTCGGTAACCGTTCGTTTTAAGTCAGAATTCGGTTCTGTAAATTGGAGATTTTTCATTAAGTCACGAATTTTATCATGGAAACTAGATTAGGATCACA